AAGCATTTACGTTAATGTATTTCTCTTGTGAAGATTTTTGGTGAGAAGTTGCAAAAAATAACAATTAAGGTGGTCATTTACTTCAATGATTATGTGACTTATTTTATTCTTACTAAGTAATAATCATCTTGAAAAAAAATACCAATGACACTTTGCTTTATCAACTTTTTTTTTTTTGGTAGTCGTTCTAGCAGCGATTGCAATTTTTGCATAATACCATCAACGATCATCAATAATAAGCAGTTAAAAATTTGCAATACTTAAGAAATAAATTTTAACAACAATGTCTGTTTTGAAAAAAAAACCGCAAATAGCAACTTTGTGGAAAAAAAATGTGAATTTCAAAAAAAATGAAAGAGTAAAAAAAGCAGATGAGCGGAAGCAAATAAAAAATCTTATGTTTTTCAGCTGCTTTTATTGTTTGACTGCTATTGTACAACAATTTAAGACTGCATATTTCATTAAGTAAAGCGGAAAAAAAAACAGCAAATTCATTAAATTGCTGCAACAAATTATATATTTTGTATTTTTTTTTTCATTTTGTGCAAATCTGTTTTGTCAAAAAATTTTGCAAAAGTTAAAAAATGTGTGTTCAGTAGTATTTTATTGTCTAAAATAATCGGTAAAAAAAAAAAATCTAAAGTAAAATTTTTTAGAAAAAAGAATGCTTATGCATTGGTAAACACAGAGCAACATTAATTTGCTTTAAAAAAAGAGAAACACTGAAGACAAACCATCTTTTCAAGAAACAATATCAGCTTACAGAAATTGCAAAAGTTGGCAAAAAGAAAAGGGTTTTTATATTTGAACACCTAAAATGGTATAACTTGATAACCATACTATAAGTAACAGAAATTGTCACTAAGTTTTTTTGTTTCTTTTTTTTTGTAGTAAGTTTGTATAATTAGTCTTACTAACAACTATATATATAAACTGATAGATATTTGTGTATTAGAAAGACTATTTGATAGAAGAAGACGAGAAGATGCGAATATTTGATGCTAAGGAATGAGGAAAGGAGAGTAACAATGGGGGAGAGGCAGCTTAATAAAAAAGTATATAAGTGCTGTCACTTTTCAATCATAACGGCAGTTTTACATCTTTAAACAACTTTGTGTTTACAACAGCTT